GAATTCAGGGTTCTGTGTCAGTGTGTTTGTGTGAGTGTCCCACAAAAACCCTACAGCTTTAAAGTTTGGGTTGGCTTGATAGTTTTATCTTCAGATTCTCTGCCAGTTTGTCCAAGAACTCAAAAGTGTTGAGGTAATCTGAACGCGTGACACTGTGGAAAAAGAAAAATAGAAAATCAGAAACAAAACAATATACAAACATGTTTGCACAGGCATATGAAGTCATTTCTATACTGTAAAAACTTGTCTATACAAAAAACTGTTATGCCATAACATGTTTTTATCAATGTTATTTTGCCAGTTTATTGTTCAATGAGTATCAAGATTTTGGCATTCTCGACCGTCAAGCCCATTATGATATTTACATTATGAAAAAAGATGTTTATTATTTAATTTTAACCTTTAAGACGCCCAAAAGTATGATCAAATATGATCAATGTATAGGCCATGTTTACAGTTTCTTGTATGAATACCCAATTTATATGATTAAAATGTAAACATTATAACCAGGTCAAAATTTATTTTAAATATAAATTTCTATTAAGTTAAATATTTAGATTTTTTCAGCATTCATTACAATGCTATATTTATTTAGAAATTTATTGCCTTATTCACAAACAGTTAGTGCATTTGTTTAATTTTTTTTCTGTAATATTCATTTTAATTACAAATATTAGATAATTATTTTATTAATCATTTCTTTTTTGATAATATAATTTTTATATATTCATAAGTCTGTTTAAAAACTAATAATAATAAAATTTTTTCACATTTGTTTGTCTTTTCTTAAATCTTTTCATTGACATTACCCCCCTTTCAGGCCTCTTGGGGTCTCCACTATGACAATCCCTTTGCTGGCTGACAATAGTAGCGTGGAAAGTACACATTTCACCTTTAACACTATTTATGCCATCTAGTTAAAGTCCCTTATGCATTAAACACGTGCCCAACACAACTCAATCTGACAGAATATTCTCAATAAAATGTTGTTCCAAATATCCTTAAGCATAAAATAAGCATATAATGGACATACCCAGACATGCCCTTGATGCAGATGGCCAGGTCTTTGGTCATAAAACCAGCTTCAATGGTCTCGACACAAACAACCTCCAGTGCCTCAGCAAACACCCGCAGCTCTGCGTTCTTATCCAGCTCCGCCCGGTGTAGCAGCCCTCGAGTCCACGCAAAGATAGAGGCTGATGGGACAAAATATTTATTCTGTGAAGTTGCAAAAAGCTGTGCAGTCAAAAACTAAATTAAGCATTGCTAACTTTCAAATCAACAAGCTTTCTGTTGTCCAACACAGGAAATTTGCATGACAAATTACCTTGATTAAAATTTGTGTAGTGAATTTTTGCAGCTTTATATATTTATTTTATATAGGCTGTATATATTTAGTGTAAATATTAATATTTTGAAATATTTTAAATGTAATAAATGTTTGATGATTTATACTTAAAATATGTGTTATAAATAATTATGAATAGAAGGGCGCAAGATTAAACCCCAATGCAAAACTCCCGATCGCAGGAATTCACACAGTAATAATTGGATTTTGACTGCTAAATTTTGCTGAGCAATGGCCTATTTAACTACAGCTTCAAGATGATAGTGAAAGAAGTGTTGTCTTTACCGATGGGGTTGGTGGACGTCTCTTTGCCCTGCTGGTGCATACGATAGTGTCTTGTCACAGTGCCGTGGGCCGCCTCAGCTTCTACTGTACGCCCATCGGGACATACAAGCACACTGGTCATCATGCCCAATGATCCATAACCTAGGAAAAGACACCAGAAAGCACACACTCTAAATATCAATTCTTTCACAATAAATAAAGTGATTAGGCAAAGAAATTAAAGGTTTTGCAGCCTATTTAAACCAATTCAGCATAAAACTACACAATACCAAATATTATTTATATTTTGAGATTTTGCAATGTTTTCAAAAGAAGCCTCTTATGCTAACCAAGGCATCATTTGTTTAACAACAAAGTTATAAGTCACAAAATTATGTTGTGAAATATTATAAACAAATAAAAATGATCAATTTCTGTTTTCATGTACTTTAAAAAAAATGTCATTCATTCTTATGATGGCAAGAGGAATTTGCAGCATTGTAACCCCAGTCTTCAGGTGCTTTAAAAAAATACATGATCCTTAAACTCATTCTAATATGATGATTTGGTGCTCAACAAATGTATTTAACGAGCTACATTCAATTATAAAAACAGATTTATGTGTGTATACTGTGATTCAACATTTCAGGATTATTTGATCATTAGAAAAACAGCATTAATTTGACAAAAACTACTGTGACATTTGACCTTTTACTTTGCTTGCCTTTAATGCACTCTTGCTGGAAAGTATGCATTTATTAAGTATACATTTGCATTTTGGCATTGAAATATGTTGGTATAGTAATAAGGGACTATGAAAGAATGGGCATAGGGCATCAGGCTATAGAAATAAGAAAGTATAAAAATATTAATATATACACATACATTAATAATATAAATAAATATGGGAGAATGGAAGCATGGGGACATGACAATATAGTAGTATGAAATATGGGAATATGAGAGTATAGAAGTACAGAAAATGGGGGAAAAGGAGTATAGGAGCATGGAAGTATAAAACGTACAGGAATATGTATAAGAAGATAATTTTCCGTAATTCTGTAAATTTATTACTAACCTTGAGCTACAGAATCTGACTGCACGTCTCCATCGTAGTTCTTGCAGGCCCAGATAAACCCACCTTCAGACTTCATGGCCTGAGCCACCATGTCATCAATCAGCCGATGCTCATACCAGATGCCCATGGCCTCATACTTGGCCTTGTACTCTCTGGAACACAGTTTCAAAAGGTTATATTTCTACATTTATTTCTTCATTGTTTGTTATTCTGTCAGCTTATTCAGTGCAGCCATAATTGATTAACAACAGGCAGGAGCGATTCTATTTTTTTTATTCAATACAAACAGGCGTTTACTATTCCTCATCTTAAAATTCAAGACTATAATGACATATTTTGTGAAATCGGGTTAGACATACCCCTGGAGACAGAAGGAAATGCTATTTAGTAAAGAATATATATATATATATATATATATATATATATTGTATATGTAAGCCTTTAAAACTAGTTTTAAAATGGAAGGATTTTTTTATCATAATCAAGAATGCAAAGAAAGGACTTGGCTTCTCACTGTGATCTTTCTGATGGTCACTTGACCTTTATGCGTTTTAACGGAAAACAATTTAAACATTAACTTTCATACAATGACTTATCTTTTTTCTATCTATCTATCTATCTATCTATCTATCTATCTATCTATCTATCTATCTATCTATCTATCTATCTATCTATCTATCTATCTATCTATCTATCTATCTATCCATCTATCCATCTATCTATCTATCCATCTATCCATCTATCTATCTATCTATCTATCTATCCTGTACTGTACTGAACTGTAAAAAAGCATTTTGAATGCACATACTGTACAGCCAATTCAGATTTTTATATGAATTTCAGCAAATAAACACATTTCCAAGTGTTTATTTAGGTGTTTATTTAGGAAAACTCCTAAGAAAAACAAGTTATATCTTGAATATGAAATGTTGGGCTTGACTGCATTCTATGCATCCTCCATAAAAACACGTGGTTTCCTTCACTCGTCCTTGTTTTGCGCTCTTGAATATTTGAATTGACCTTTGGTGGTTGATCATGACATTACATAAGAACATAAGATCACTTATAGAATGTATATTGAGAAACAGCCATTGTCTCCATCGATTACCAGAGACTTTTTTCAGTAACCATGTAACCAGCGACTCACTTGTCATAGATCTCCTGGAAAATATCTTTGAAACGCCCATCATATTTCTTCAGGATAGTGTTTTTGGTGCTGAGGTACATTGGCCAGCCTTTATTCAGGCCCATCTGGAAAGAGCTGTGAGCAAAGTCCCGGATTGACTTGTCTGTGTTGTACATTCCCAGAGCTACTCCACCGGTACCTGAGCATATCAAATAAAATCATTCAGATTTTCAAGATAACATGCTTTGAACAAATATCTGCTTGTGCCAATTAGATTTAGAAGCAAGTGGACAATATTTCAAGAATGTTAAATGAAATCTTTGCACAGTGTCTAATACTTGAAACCTTAAATACCAAATAACTGTACCCAAAAAAAAAACCAATGTAATATTGACAAGACAACGACGCTCTGTGCTCAAACAGGTGACAGTCCACTGTTATGACATCATCATATAAAGACACTATTTGGGATACAGGGCTGTATCTGACATTTCATGTGTCCATATTACAGAGTTTTATTACAAAATTCTAGAATTTGAAGTATTTATAAAACAGCAAATGAATTACCTTCAAAGTCATGGACAACAAATTTCAGTGTCTCTCCTCCGTTTTTGGGTTTGTATGTCATTTCCACTGTTCCAGGGCCAGGCACAACAAAATCTGTTGCCTTGTACTGCAAAAGTCAAGATGACAGGTTATTAAAGGAGACTTTTGAACGTTTAAAATGACTCTTTATTATGTTTTTTTTATTTTTAATTTTAAAGAGCATACAAAGTTATAGGTCAAAGTGCACAATAAATGGAGCCATCATCACCCCCATAACCCCCCTCCTTTGAACAAGCATTCAATAATTCCAGATTTACCTCCACAAACCTGTTTATTTGCTAGAAATCTGCACAGTGCACACTTACAGAAGATGCAGACTCTGGATCAAATTAAGTTAAACTGATGGAATTGTTAATGATTGTATCACCATATGCTAAAAAAGCCTTGAAAGCTAAAATCCTGATATGTAATGAGCATTTTTGAAATATGCTGTTAGATCAGCCCATTTTACCAATCAAGAGATTAAAGGATTGTATGCATTATTAGAAAATACTTGACAATATAAAGTATATTTTGAGAAAATGTTATATTGTTTTGAAAATCCGAAATAGCATACTTCTCAAGTAGGTACTACATTTAAATTTGTATTTATTTCATGACTAATAGAAAAGTATGTTTTATATAGTATGAATGCGAGTAGTGCAAGTGGAATTTAGTTAGGTGCATTCCTTCACTTCGGTTAATATATTTTCTGCCATGGCCTCATGGGATAAAAGAGAATGCGTTGGATGTTCACTTAAGAATCTTGCCAGAAGAGAGAGAGAGATTTTATTTTATTGCCATTTCAGCTTCTATGGCTATGTCATGGCAAAAAGAAAATAGATCAAGTAAAAATATTCTAACAATTAAAAGTCATCAACAGCAATAAATAATGTACAAGGTAAAATTTATAAATAAAAATAATAATGATAATATATAAGATAAAAATCTAAAAAAGTTTTTTAAGATTTCCTTTTGATAAAAATTCTACAACTTTAGATGGATTCACGTTTAAAAATATTTCCTTTAAAGTCTCTCCAGATAAATATTGTTTTCTGATAACATTAAAAATGGGGCATTCCACAAAAATGTGTTTAACTGTTTGGTTTCTGTTGCAATAAAGGCATTTTGGTGGTTCTTCTCCTTTGAGTAAATGTTCATGTGTGAGTCTCGTGTGTCCAATGCGGCATCTTCTATACACAATCTCATCGTGTCTTGACTTAAAAAATAAATTAGATTTTTTTCCTATTTCAGGTTGAATTTCAAAAAGTTTATTTTCTGGGCACTGATCCCATTCTGATTGCCATTTGTTGAGAATATAGCCTTTTATTAGTGGCTTAAGATCCGAAGGTGGGATTTTGCACTCCATCAGCTTTCCTGTTAGGGCTGTTTTGGCGGCTTTGTCAGCTTGTTCATTCCCAAGTAGTCCAGTATGTCCTGGGATCCAGCAGAAGACTATATTATAAAACTTTCTCTGTAATTCATTCACTTTGATAAAAATGTCAATAATAATGGGATGCTCCAGTTTAAAAGAATTTAATGTCTGTAGACAAGATTTAGAATCAGAAAAAATAATAAAATTGTGTCCTTCAGCATTTTCAATGTGTTCCAGCGCTAAAAAGAGTGCCTTTGCTTCAGCTGTAAAGATTGAGCTTTGATCAGGAATGCGAAGGCCGTGGTGTGATTGACCCATTACGATTGCTGCAGAAACATGACCGTCCTTTTTTGATCCATCTGTGTATATTGGATTATGGGTAGGATAAAAATGTCTTATGCCAGCAACTGCTTGTTGATATGTATGTGGGAATGTATCAGCCTTCTTATGCTTGCTTAGATCCAGATTTACTTGCAACTTATTTAATCTCCATGGTGGGACCGGGCAAATGAGAGTCTGGTGGATGGAATCAAGATTTACATTAAGGTTTTTTTATGTGTGTTCTGATCCGCACACCGAATGGTTGAATATAGCTGGGTCTTTCCTCATACAAATCCAAATATTGAGGTTGAAAGATTGGTTTGAAAGCTGGGTTTTGTTGATTTGTCTTTATTTTTAATGCATACTGGAGAGATAATTCCAAGCGTCTAATATGAAGAGGTGGTTCATTTGCTTCAGTGTATAGGCTTTGAGCAGGTGAAGTTCTGAAAGCTCCAAGAGCTAGTCTAAGTCCTCGGTGGTGTACAGGATCCAGCATTTGTAAATAAGATTTTCTAGCGGAGCTGTAAATTATACTCCCATAGTCCAGTCGTGAGCGCACCAAAAGTCTATACAACCTCATTAAAACTGTAGAATCTGCCCCCCATTTTGTTTTTGCAAGAACTTTAATTAGATCCAAGTTCTTCAAGCATTTGTCTTTAGAGCTTTATATGTGGGATGAAGGTCATTTTACAATCGAAATGGAGTCCAAGGAATTTTATTTCTTTAACAATCTTGATGGGTTCCTCATCCAAAAAGAGTTCTGGATCATGATGTAGAGATCGTAAAAGACAGAAATGCATACATACAGTTTTGGTTTTGGAAAATTTGAAACCATTTTTTGTAGACCAATTACTAACTTTGTTTATGCATAACTGTAGCTGTCTTTCAATTATGTTCATGTTTTTCCCTCTGTAGCATATACAAATGTCATCCACATAAAGACTGCACATCATGTTTCTTCCAATGACATCTGTGACACTATTAATTTTAACCATAAAAAGAGTCACTGAAAGGATGCTGCCTTGAGGAACTCCTTGCTGTTGTATTTGAGGGTCTGACATAGTGGTTCCTACTTGAACTCGGAAAGTTCTATTTGATAAAAAGTTTGAAATGAAGATGGGTAAATTTCCCCTGAATCCCATTTTATACAGATCTTTAAGAATGCCATATTTCCATGTAGTGTCATATGCTTTTTCAAGGTCGAAAAATACAGCTACAACATGCTCCTTTTTGATGAATCCATTTCGTATGTAAGACTCCAGATTGATGAGATGATCTAATGTACACCTTCCTCTTCTGAAACCACATTGGAAATCACTTATCTGATGATCGGACTCAAGCTTCCAGACAAGTCGGTTATTTACCATCCTCTCCATAGTTTTACATACGCAGCTCGTCAATGCTATAGGTCTGTAATTGTTGGGGTCTTTATGTTCCTTCCCAGGTTTTGGTATAGGAATTATGGTGGCTTCTTGCCATGATGGTGGGATATTTCCTGATTTCCAAATTTCATTGAAATTATCCAGGAGGAGGCAAAGACTCAATTGGGGAAGATGTTTAAGAAACTGATAATGTACTTTGTCTGGTCCGACTGCTGTGTCATGGCAACACTTTAGAGAGTTTAAAAGTTCCTCCATAGAAAAAGGTTGATTGTAGATCTCTGTGTTTTGGGAAATGAAATTTAATTTAATTGTTTCTTGGTTAGTTCTGATTTTTTGGAAATTTGGCTGATAGTTTTCTGTAGAGGAATTCTTTGCAAAGGTTTCTGCAAGTATATTAGCAATGTCATGTTTACTAGTCAGCAGAGTGCCGTGATTATCGATGTGTTTTAGTTGTGGTCCCTCTCTTCCTTTCATTTTCCGAATTGCATCCCATATTTTCTTTGATGGTGTATTTATTGTCAGGCTTGACACAAATTTATTCCAGCTCTGTCTCTTTGCTTCTCTTATATATCTCCGTGCCTGTGCTCTGCAAATTTTTATCCTGATAAGGTTTTCAGAAGTTGGATGCTTTTGAAAACATCTTACTGCTTTTTTCCGTGCTTTAATGAGTTCTTTACATTGGTCATCAAACCAAGGATTCCTTCTCTTGCTCTGTTTTGTCGATGTTTTTGGTACAGATTCATCTGCTATTTCAATAATTTTTTCTGTGAACCATTTGATTGGATTTTCTTTATCCTGTTGCTTGCCATCAAGTCTCTCATAACAAAGGGCTTGAAATGAGTACCAATTTGCCTTTTCAAGTTTCCATTTTTGGGGTCTCTGTTGTGTATCTGCGGCTGTTTTGGTTATAATCAAAGGAAAGTGATCACTTCCACAGAGATCATCGCAGACATACCATGAGAAGTCAGTGGCTAAAGTTGCATCACATATTGTTAAGTCAATGGCAGAGAAGGATCCATGTCCTGGGTGTAAGTATGTGTATGAACCATCATTTAAAAGACACAGGTCATTTTCATTAATTAGTTTTTCCATCTTCTTTCCCTTTGCATCAAGTTGTTTTCCTCCCCACAGAGGATTGTGAGCATTAAAATCTCCCATGAGAATAAATGGAGGGGGGATTTGTTCCACCAGATTTTCCAAATCTTGATGTGAGACAGTAGCTTCTGGGGGAATATAAACAGAACATAGAGTAATAGTATTTTGCAAAGTTATACGGACTGCCACTACTTGTAGGTTTGTATTTTTGTCAACATTACTATGAACAACATCATGTCTAAGTAATATTGATGTTCCACCACAAGGACGTTGAAGGTTTGGGCCATATGCATTTAGGCATGTAAAATGTTTCAGAGATATATTGTTCTCTGGAGTAAGATGGGTCTCATGGAGACAGAAAGCCAGGGGATTATAAATGCAAGCAAGACGTTGTAATTCAGAAAAATTGGCTCTTATGCCACGGCAGTTCCACTGAATAATATGACTTTCCATTGTCAAGTTGGTAAGACATACGAGTGCCCTTTGGTTTTTGTTTTAGGAGAAGTGCTCCGACTTCAAGGTTTTTTGTCGTCTGACATTTCGATGTCTTTTGAGCTGCTGGTCTTCATCTCCTTATACTCTTGGCTTGTTTTTTCTTTTTGAGGATTTGGTTTTTTGTCATTTTTGTTTTTGGATGAGTGTTGTCCTGTAGATGAATGTTCTTTGTGATTTACTTGAGTTTGATGAAGTACAGTCTGACTTTGATGATCAGTACACTTAGTATTTACTGGAGTTTGAGATTTTATTTCTTCAAATTTTTCATTTATCCACATCAAATCTGTCTGAACGCCGACAGACTGCAGTTTTGGTTTCATCACAGCAGCAAAAGTTTTTTCCAATTTAAAGAATGAGGAGTTCTCAACAAGCTTTCGAGCCTCAAAATAGCTCACCTTCTTAGTACACTTGATTTTCTGGATTTCTTTTTCTTTAATCCAGGTAGGACAGTCTTTGGATGAGCTTGGATGTTCTCCTGCACAGTTGCTGCACTTTGGTGTTTTTTTACATTGATCACCATGTTTTTCCTCTCCACAGTTTACACAAGTAGGCCTGTTTTTGCAAGAAATCGATCCATGTCCAAACTTTTGGCAGCTGAAACACCTGAGTGGATTAGGTGTAAAAATGTCAACATTAACACTCAAGTATCCAATTCGAATCTTTTCTGGAGGTAGAGGTCTACTGAATGTTAAAATATAGGTTCCTGTTTTTATGAGACGATCTTCTCTCCTGATTGTGATTCTTTTAACATGTATTACATCTTGAGTCATTAACTCTGTAGTAATTTCAGTCTCTTCCATGTCTTCTAGTTCTCTGGTACGGATTACTCCTTTGCTATGATTTAAAGTTGGATGGTGAAAAGTTTTCATAGCAACACCAGCAAGCATATTTGCACGTAGTAGGTTTTCTGCTTGAACCTTTTTGGAGCATTCAACAAGAATTTGTCCAGATCTTAGTTTTTTACAATCTTTCACTGTTCCTGCAATCCCAGAGATGCCTTTTTGAATAGCAAAAGGAGACAGTTTAGAGAGTGGCATGTCAGATTGTAGAGATTCTAGAAGTATAAATCTCTGCCAGTTTTCACTTTTAGGTAGTAGACTGATGCCATTTCCAAAGTTACAATCCAAGTCCTGATCCGATAATTTTCTTTTTGGGTTTTGTTTGTTTGCCATTTTTGTATGATTTCAGATTCATCACTCTTACTCCTCACCCACCTCGGAGCCCAACAAGGGGATGCACAGAGCCGCGGATCTCCACCGGGTATACATCAAGGATATAAGAATGATATACTCAAGCAAGCATATTTAAAAATATGCATTACTCAATTGACCCTCAGCCAAAGCCTTCTGGAAATTTGCTAGATGTTTAAAAAAGTTAAATAATCCAGGGCATTTCTTGACTAGCCGATTGATTGGATCGGGCCCTTCCAACCTCCCGTCTAAGTGAAATAGGAGCCAAAGTACTGTGTTGGATCTGCAATAGTCGCAACAGTTACATTCCTCAAATACCAGGATCTCTTTTTCCACTGACACGGGTCACAACTCACGGCTGAAACAAGTTGCCCCATTTGTCGCCTCTTACGATCAGCAAGGGGGTGCTGGGGACCTATTCTACCCCGGGTCCCCACGGGGTTCTTGCCAGAAGTAGTAGGTCATCCGGGCACTTCACACTGTGTTTTACATGCTATGAATTTGGACCTACTACTAGGCTCACAAATTGTTTTTCACATACTATATAGTAGAGAAAAATGCAGTTCATAATGCATCTTCCCAACAAGAAATATTGTGTTTATTAGACATCTAAAATGTTGACAGTTTTACTAAAACAAGACTAAACTTGGGCTTTCAGTGAAAAATCTAACAGACATCTAAGAATAGGTCAAAACTAAACTAGTCTTTATATGTGTAGTCATTCATTTCTGTTTATTTGATGACTAATCTAGATTTGCCCTATTCTTAGACATATATTAGAATTTCACAGATTTTATCCGACCAAATTTAACCTTGTTTTAGCCAAGACAACTATGTTTAGATGTCTATTAGACATCTATTGGGCATCTTTTAAAAACAAACAAAATGATTGCTGGGTTATGTGTTCTTTTTTTGTAGACTTTGAAATCTACATCAGAAGGATTTGGAAGTAGCATAATAGATAAAAAAAAAAAAAAAAGTATTATTTTTCTAATAATCTTAACTTTGATAAACCGGCAGTGATAAGCGTAATTAAAAATGTAGTACAAATAAACAATTAGGCTCAATAAATATTTTATGTACACAAGTATGAGCTGCCTACCTGGTCCCCATGTGCATGTCTGCCGATAATTATAGGCTTGATCCAGCCTGGAACCAGGCGGGGAATGTTTTTGCAGATAATGGCCTCTCGGAACACAGTGCCACCCAGAATGTTTCGGATTGTTCCGTTGGGAGAGCGCCACATCTGCTTGAGTTTGAACTCCTCCACACGCTTCTCATCAGGAGTGATGGTGGCACACTTGATGCCCACATTGTAGCGCCTCACAGCTTCTGCCGCCTCAACCGTTACCTTATCATCGGTGGCGTCGCGGTTCTCCATCCCCAGGTCATAACTATGAATGAACAAAAAATAAAAAAGAAGGAAAATCTCATGTAATTCTTGACCTTCTTGACAGAAATTTGATCACTATAAAGGTCTATTATTGTACAAAATGTCATTTATGCAGACTCAAATGGAAATGGAAAAGAATCATTTTAAAGTTTTTAACATAGACTGTACACATGCTTTACACACACATTAGCAGGTCGGGGTATTATTCCAAACCCATTCTCTCATGCTTACTTGCCTACATTATATTTTGCTGTCCAAACTGCATTAAGTTATAAAACAAGCTATTAACTCAGCTCAAACTGACAGCCAAATTGGTAATACAGAAATATGTTACATTGTACTACCAGTAAGGCAGATGACGTCTCCCAGCATGCTTTAAATGAGGTCAATGGGAAACTAGTGACATTGTAATATAGCACAAAGACACACTGTTCCGGTGCACTGAAAAAGAACCATTCATTCTGTGACAGATTATTACTACAATGTAAAATAACTCTTTATAAGACATTTTATTTAAGAAATTTACTTCATTCGGGTAATGGGAAAAAAATCAAGTACTTATTATAACACAATCTTTTAGAAATCATTCAAATATGCTATCATTACTAATAGCTATTATACCTGCTATTACTATGAATTTCGAAAACTGCTGTGCTGCTCAACAGCATACTTTGTAAATGCTGTTAGGCCACACAAATTGTAAACTAATAAATACATTTTTCTTTAGTATAACAATAAAGTATCATCGGGAGGCAAAGGTATAATGGGTATACAATCAATAACATTTAGTTGAATAGTGTGTGGCAGTAAATAAATAAATAAATCCATAAATAAATATATATCCTCATTTCTTTCATATAAGTGTCCTTATATGCATACTTATGCACTATTCTATGACATTTTAGTATTAACAGTTCAAATAGAGTCTACTAAAAACTCATAGTGCAGTTTTAGTGCCCAAAATGTCACTTCATGACTCTGTTTGAGCCGGATTTATGAGGTATAATGATAATTTTGGTTGAAATTGTGGTCTACAGCAACCCAAAACATGCCTGACCACTCAAAATAACTGATTTAAATTCATCCCAGCAACTTGTACTCTTGCTCTGAGGGGCTGAATAGCCTCATTTGCTCTGCATAACTGTGACCGAACTGATGAAGGTATCAACAGATTCTACAACTTGTGAAGATGTGTGACACTTAAAGAGAACATCCCTGAGATGCAACACGCTATTGTCTGTTGAGGGCGTGAACTCTCTCATACTCCCTTATTCACGTCTCTTTTGTGTTGAGAATGCTGTGACCTTTCACCCACTTACACTCCAATCCTCGATACAACAATGATACTGAAAAACTGTTGGGGGCGCTAGAGAGATTGGCCAAACTGCTTATTTATCACACATTTTTGGGGGCTGCCATCAATAAAAGTTACTTGTTATGCATAGTAGACATTCTGCAATGTTACTAAATTCCTGAATTAAAGCTTAGGTCAATGACTAAATGAACAAGCATCAAGATATCTCTGGTAGGTGACAATTGTTTGCTTTATGTACTGATAATATGCCTTATCTGGTTGACATGGTTTTAGATTGTACTATTCTGCCAAACTTCAGGTCAAGTTCACAAACACTTTTTCTTACAAAAGCCGGGCTTTATAATTAAAGAGGCTCTAAGATGAAACTGTAACCACATGTTCAAAGTTCACATGCCAGTTTCAAGCACAGAACTTGGTGTTAGGTAATAAACGTTTCTAACTTATGCGATGATAACACTTCCCTTTGGCCTTGAGGATTGAGAAATTTGATAGTATGAGAAATTTGGACTTACAAACATGAAACATGAAACGTCATATTTGTAAAACATGGCAGGTAGATGCTGATAGACATGTTTATTGGTAATGCACATATTGTTAATAGCACGAATATACAAGTAAAATTAAAAAGTAATTATTTTAGTTTTAACGTAATTTTTAATCATTTTAAAACCCATTTTAAAGAGAGCGCTCCATGTTAATTTACACTGATTCTAAAGTTACCGCATTATCTTTAGTGCTAAGTTTACCATGCAAATGGTTTTAAGGATGACTAATTAGCAGTAAAGTCAAATTAAATTAGATTAACATCTGAACCAATGTATTCCCAAGAGAAATCAGTATTAATGAGAATAAGGCTCACCTGCTGTTTATGCACCACACAAACACTCACTTAATCTCACCTGTGCAAATCGAGCTCCAGATAAGGGAAAATGAGTTTCTCTTTTATGAGCTCCCATATTACTCTGGTCATCTCATCTCCTTGCATCTCAACCACAGAACCGGCTTTGATCTTCTGAGACATTTTGAACCCTGCAAGATCGATGACACTTATGTTAAATAGAGTAGTGTACTTACTCCCTGAAGAATGAATAGCTTTCATTGAGAAGTTACATAACCAGTGAGTCAGCATTTTTTTTGTCTTAAACCTGTTTTAACTGTTAGCACTGGTAGGACTGCAGACTGAAACTAGGGTGTCTGCAGATTTTATGAATGAAAATTTAAGACCACACAAAGAAAATGTTTAATACATCATGTCCTTTAAGCAAAATTATTGGGAGCAACGTTTCATATAATAAGTAATCTTGCTTTCCCTGAAACTGATCAAAATGAAGCAAGTGTATGACCTATAACAAATACCTGGCATTTGGCTCTGTAAAAAACAAATTCATTCAAACAAAGTACAGTTTTTAGTCATGCCCTGCAGATATTTATTATTGTATTGAACATAAATGCACTTGATTTAGATTAGTTTCTCAGAAAAGGGAGTATTCTTCCTTTTGCATCTTAAGAAAATGTATCCGTTTAAAGATGCGTAGTATTAGTTTTGGAAAACAAACATACAGATTATATTTTTGAATCGCATTTACCGTCATTCACTTTATGAATTAAAGATTCTGCTCTAATGTAAGACTTTTAAGTCCCACAGAAACCCATCAGCAACATGTAATGAAGTTTTTTTCACTGCTTATGGACAAGAGTGTGTTTGTTCACTCATGTAGGGTAGCAAGATATTTGTATTACAGTATTTTTAGTATTCTTGGACATACCATTTGTACTGACATACCAGCTTTTGTGACAGACATCAGCTGTTCTTGTGCAAGTAATGCAACAACACCTGACAGAAACGCAGCCATTGTGTAACCTGATGCTAGCCTTTTATCCACATTAATGCACTGGATAATCAATTCTGACACTATTAACTAATATCAATCTCACCGACTTATTGTTGTTCCACAGATGTGCACGTTACATAACGAAGCAATTAGGACAAAGGTCAATTACTGCGCGTGCAATGCTGTCCTACACTCTACAAAAGTATCACAAGAAGCTTTACATGATTCTTGGGTTACTTTTACTAGATCTTTTAAAAACTGCTAATGTAATACATGCAAATGATTAAATCTAATATCATATAAAATACATGCATAATCACCGTGGGTTTAAAGCAAATTTACTTCGTCTTTTCTATTGAAAGAATCTAGTTATTGGTATTTTCATTCTGAAATGCTCAGGATACCGGTAGTACTTTCCAGGAAACGTCAAATCCAAACGACAGCGATGTTTTCTTTAGATTTACCAGATATTTTGAACGATCTAAACTCAGTATACTTCGCTTACCTTATTTTAGAGATTGCACTTGAGAAAATGAAGAGATGCCAGGTTGTGAATGCGTCGAAAAGGGGCTTGAAGATGTTTTTTTTGCCTTTACTAGTCTTGGAAGGCGTTGTTTCCTATCAGCTGAGCGGACGGCATAGGCTCTCCTCCGTTTAGCTCATCGATGTGCTCCTAACCAGATAAACCTCCACCAATCCAAAAGAACTAGGAACTAATCTACAACGCCTTGCCCCTCCCTCGTCATAGAGTACAGCACATTGGGAGGGATGCGTTTTTGTATAATCGCAGTTTGCATCGAAGCATGTCCTTCTCTAGGGGCGCTGTGTTGCTCAAAACCAACGCAGACTATTTTATTAGAATAAATTCAACTTTACTGTCATTGACCATGTGCAAGGCAACGAAATGCAGTTTAGGTGTAACCAGGAGTGCAATAGCAGCAAGTGCAGGATATCGGCATGTAATAAGTGCAATTATAGAAAAGTATGGGTAATATTTACTAATGGATGTACTATGAACATAATATACAAGTTGTATTAAGTCAGAAATGTTCTAATAGATAAACAATGTACAGGTTGCTATTAATAACTACGATTAGGCAAATATATGAACATAATATACAGGTTGTTATTTGCAATAAACAGGAATTACAAAAATATGTAATCATGCATTTACAACTTTAAATGTGCAGTGAATATGCACATTTACAAATGGCAAATGCAGTGTAGTGCAATAATTATTTATGTGCTATATTATGTGTGCAATATTAAATAGTGCAATAGTTATGGAGAGAGTGTAGGGTTGAATGGGGTGGGCAAAAAGATAAGATTGAGCTACAAGATAACGAACACATTTTTTAATGAAGAAATTGTTATTAATGCATATGATAATAATAATAATAATAATAATAATAATAATAATATTAATAATAATAATAATAATAAACTTTATTTTATACAGTGCTTTTCAAAGTAGCTCACATGCACTAAAAAGAAAAATCTCAAATCATATAAAATCAGATATGCTGCATTCCTGATCTCAAAGGGCAGAGAATTACACAACTTAATAGACAGTGAAAGGCCCAATCACCCAAAAAATAAAAAAATAAAAAAATAGACTTCAGAAGGGTGTATGCAGGTGTGGGGAAAAGTTCAGACAAATATTGAGGAGTGAGACAATAAGGCTTTAAAGGGCACCTAAAATAAAAATCATCTTTTGTAAACTGTTTGAACAGAACTGTGTAGATATAGTGTGTGCACTGTCATACTGGGGTGATATAAAGACAATACGTCTCTTTTTTTATTTCCTGACATTAAAATGGGATCCAAATCCCACCAATTTTAAGGCCCACTGCAACGTGACGTAGGAATGTGGTTTCACCGGCCACCGAATTGATTGACAGCTGTGTACATACAGATAAAGATGATCCATTGAGCAAAACAACTATGATTAAAAGATCTGTTCAGCTCTCTGTGATCATCACTCATCATCAAATGTGATCAAGAACGAGTTTTATAAGTTTAAAACATTTTTAAAATGCATGTTCGTAATGAATTAAAGTGATTTTACCGGCTTTATTACCACAGGCGCGCATCAGTACAATTATAAATGAAGATGCTAATCTCGGTTTGTTGACGTTAAATCAGGTTTATTTTGTAACATAAAATAATAGATATCCATACGGCAGTGGATATTAACGTGTATGCTGTCACTTTTGCCATGCAAAACATTGCAAAGTTAAACGCGCTTACTGTGTCTGCTGTGTGTCTGTGTGTGTGCGAGAGAACTTTGTAATGACATTGTGTGACTCATCGAAAGGCTTGAATTAACTCCTAAACACACACTTGAAAAAAAAATGGTAAAGTTCTTAACATTTATGATAAATACTACAGTAAGTGAGCTCTACTTCCTTCATGTCTGTCCCTGTGCTGTTTTTCTTACTAAGCTGAGGCTAAGATTGAGGCAGGGAAAACTAGCATTAAAGGCACAGACCGCAAAAACAGATACAAGATACTCAGAGCTGAAAATTACAATACTTGGAAAGGTATAATGAATATTCTGAGGGGTCTTTTGAGCTGAAACTTTACAGACACATTTTGGAGACACAAAAGACTTATCTTAACTCTTGAAAAAGGGGTAAAATAGGTGCCCTTTAAGTAAGCATGAACATTTTAAAATCAATATAGAAACTGATAGGAAGGCTAACAGGATTAATGTAGAAACACTAACTACAAATGATTAAGCATGCATGCATTTAAAAATATCAATCTTCTGTTCTGTTTAAAGACTACATTAACAGCATAATCAAATTTATTGATTTAGCAGATGTTTTTATTAAAAGCAAAATTACAAATGAGGATACTAGAAGCACTTTAAACTATTTTGTTTAAAATAGACAAAAGCAAGCAAGTAAAATAAACAGATAGATATAGAAATAGGGAGTGTTTTGTGGAATAATTAAGCATTGATAAAACGGATGTCTTAGGAAGTTTCTTGAAAATGGTCAGAAACTCGAATTGAGTGCGTCAAGTCATTTCACCAGAATGAAATATTAAAGGTGAAAGTCTTTGCAATTTTATGCTCCTATGGAAAGTCCTGCTGGGCACATAAGCTCAAAATAGAATGTTCAGGTAAAGAGGCGCAGAGCCACTGGTTGTTTTGTAGGTGAATGACAGAGGATTGAATTTGATGTGAGCTGTAATTTGGAGCAAGTGTAGACTGATAAATAAAGATGTGACTTGCACTATTTTTGGCTAACTAAAGACCACTCTCATCATTGCCACACTCTAGGTCAGGGGAGCCTAAGCCTTTTCTTATGAAGGGCCAAAAACCAAACTTGATTGAGGCTAGTGGGCCGAAGGTAAATATAGTTGCCATGGGCAATTTCCTAATTTACTTAATAATATTTAAAAATAAGGCGAGGCAGTGGCGCAGTAGGTAGTGCTGTCGCCTCACAGCAAGAACGTTGCTGGGTCACTGGTTCGAACCTCAACTCAGTTGGCGTTTCTGTGTGGAGTTTGCATGTTCTCCCTGCCTTCGCATGGGTTTCCTCCGGGTGCTCCGGTTTCCCCCACAATCCAAAGACATGTGGTGCAGGTGAATTGGGTAGGCTAAATTGTCCATAGTGTATGAGTGTGTGTGTGTGTGTGTGGATGTTTCCCACAGATGGGTTGCGGCTGGAAGGGCATCAGCTGCGTAAAAACTTGCTGGATAAGTTTGCGGTTCATTTCGCTGTGGCGACCCCTGATTAATAAAGGGACTAAGCCGACAAGAAAATTAATGAATGAATGAATATTTAAAAATAACTAGAAAAGTTTTTTACTTATTTACAACTTTTAATTAAACATTTAATTTCATTCTGCTTTTTTTTATCGGAGCAATAAAAAAATAATTTAAAAAAGTTGTCAAGTTAGAAATGACAATCTCTTTGAAAGGCATTTGGCCCAACCCTCTCCATCAGTCCCACTCTCCTATCAGATGGGATGTTGGGCCAAATCAAATGTTACAATGGGCCAACTTTGGCCCTACTTTGGGCATCTTTGATCTAGATCACTGAAGAGGGTTGATGCTGGTGTGTTTGAGAGGCCAACCAAGAGTGAATTGCAATAGTCCAGTCTGGACAGAACAGAAGCCAAGACAATCCAGCAATTGAGTTCTGATAGGAAAAGTCTAATCTTCCCGATGTTATACATAGCGAATCTGAGTTCTAACAGAGTTCTAGCAATGTGGTCTGTGAAGTTCAGCTGTGAATCAAAAACCGACCCTATGTGGTGACCATGGCAGGGGTTCCTGCCATGGTCAAGCTGCTCAGTTGTATAGTGAAGTTATGCTTAAGTGTTGGGCTGGCCAGGACTACCAGTAGTTCTGTTTTAGGCAGGTTGAGTTGACAGTGATGATCCTTAACATCTGTCAGATATGCTGTAATTCAAGCAGCAAACTAATGGATCATCCAGCAGGAATGAGCATTAGAGTTAAATGTCAACAGCATAGCAATGATAGGAAAAGCCATGTTTCTGAATGACAGACTGAAGTGATGTCATGTAAATGGAGAAGAGAAGTGGTTCAAAAACTGAATCCTGGGGAACCTCAGTAGCACAATGGTGCCACTCTGACGTTTGACTCAAAGATATCCTGAATAACCTACCTTGAGGTAAGAGCTGAACTACTGGCATACGTGACCAATGTTCTGAGGGTTTGTCAAGAGAGTTTGGTGGTTAACTGAGTCAAAGGCAGCATACATCTCCAGCAAGATGAGCACTGAGAATTTGTATGTAGCTATTGTGAGTCTCACAGCTGAGAGCATTATTAAATAGGTCCATTACAATGATTCATACTAGAAATAATATTTTTCATATTTAAATATATTATATATAAATAAACCATTTACATTTAAACCTTATTTTAAAACTACAATATATTCAGATTTGTACATGTATAGATTTTTACTCGGTTGAAATTATTGTGTTTTTATACACAAGACATTTTTATAATCTTTTTTCTTAATACTTCTCCCCACTCACACTTCCAGGAGAAATTGCTGCTTTTATGTCTTAAAGCAGGGGTTTCCAAACTCAGTCCAGAAGGGCCAGTGTCCTTCAGTTTAGCTCCAAGATCCTTCAACACACCAGCATGGAAGTTTTAGTATTCAGGTTTGTTTAATTGGTGTTGGAACTGAAATATGCAGGACTCCAGGTCGCAATGGTCTCAAAATTAAATCCCGGAGGGCCGCAGCTCTAAATAGTTTAGCTTTAACCACCTCCAACCCACAACTGCCTAATAGTTTCTAGAAGTCTTGAACACCTTGAGTAATTAGATCAGCTGTGTTTGATTAGGGTTGAAGCAAAACTGTGCAGAGCTACGTCTCTCCAGAAACTAAGTTTGAGACCTAGGTCCTAAAAAGATAATTCACTCTAAAATGAATATTTACTGGCCTTTATGAATTACTTTCTTAGGTTTACCACAAAAATAATATATTTTGAGGAAATCTGGAAACCTGTAGCCATTAACACCCAAAGTTGGAAAAACAAATATTATTGAAGTCAATATAGTAACAGGTGTCCTGTCCACCCATTTTTAAAATTAACTATCCCTTTCTAAAAAATCTGCGTTTGTAATATTGTTTTTAAAACTTTGTGTCTGTTTTTTTTTATATTTTTTATGTTTTGCGGCTGTTTTTATCTGTTTTACAATTATTATGTTTTGAGTTAATTGGCAAGTTTTATATTTCGTTAGTTAATCTTAAACTGTGATTGGTTACATCTATTCAACTACGAGAAAAGTATCACATACCACGTGATTAATGCAATGCCTCGTCTGTGTAGTTAATTATTTTTTACACATAATAAACAACATTTACACGAACTTATAACTATTTATATATAAAACTAAAAACAAAAAGAAGAGCTGAAAATTAAAATTTAGTTGTACCAATCGAATTCAATCCTAACGTTACATGACAATTGACCATTAGTTACCGCCAACGTGATCAAGCCCTGCCTGTTTTGGAAGACTTCGGTGCATTTCCACTCACCTTTATCGCATTTCGGTGATCCTTCCTTCTGATCTACCAATTTTTATCTTCGGCTAACGTTAACGTTACATGCGGTTTACATTGTAGAATAAGCTAAATGTAATGGCGTGTCATAAAAGTACGCCACGTTTTGACGCCAACAAACAGAATAAAACGCGGTTCCTCTAAACTCAAAATAAATGGTTGATATATTTATCAAACTTCCCGGAAGGTGGAATGTGACGTTAAGTATGTAAAATAGGTAACGTTAAGAAAGATACATGTTCATACAACCTCCAAACCGCATTCTGTTTCTTGAAGAGTCCATATGCTCAAATCACGCTGCTCTCAATGTGCTGAAACTGTGTTTCTCCTCTATTTTAGCAGTAAGGAGGAGAGCCCATGAAAACGAGCAGTTTGTTTGACATCTCCTGAGTGAATGCAGAATTTAAACTTGACGGTAGGTGTCGCTATTTCATCACTTAATTTATAGTAGGTCCCCTGTGATTGCCACAGTCTGCCACAACCCAATGTCCTTACCGTCCTGAAGCCTTTTCTTTTCATTATATTATTTTTGCAATGTAAATATCTCTGAGGTAAGATAACCATAAGTGGCAAAGTGTGTAACAAGACACAAGTTAAGAAAAATGTATATGAGCTATTAATAAGCAATAGTTTAAAGTGTGTCGTCTGTTGGAATATTTCGGGCATCTGGAATGTGAGTCTGCTGGCCAAGGTGACATCTAACTTTTAGGACAGCAAGTTTAAGATTTGCACTGCACATATATGACTTATTTAAATAAGGCCTATTATGCTGTGATAGTTTAAAGTGTAGCATATGTTTATATGAAATATTTCTACCTCACAGGCGAGCGAAATTGTCAATCTTATTATATGCACAGTGTCTAGAGACTGCAATTTCTTTAACTGCACAGGAAAATGACAACAAACCCCATTCCCCCTCGTTACTCTGTTATTGTTGACAGCAAATCAAATATAAAAAAGCAAGTCAGGAATACCAGCAGAACACTTCTGCACACACTGTTTGATTTATCAAGGATGCTAGATGCTATGGATCTGGTTTAAAACACAGGTTGTTTGTGTTTTGAAATGTTTTAATTAAAGTTGTCAAGTGTTGTAATTTTCAGCTATTCAAATACTTGTATTTGTCCTTGACTGAACATGATTTATCGTATATTACTTTAGCCTACTTGCTTTTTTTCATAAATAAAAACATGGTTTCAAGAAAAAAAATATTTCGTAGGTTGTACAATATCTGATCTGAACCCAAAGTTCCCTTCATATGTTTTCTGTCATGCTATTTATTCAAAATATTTTAAAAGGAATAACAGGTTTTGCTAACTACTTTTCAGTGTCAGCATTATGTTTAATAATTTAAGATATTTTTCTTTGAAAAGAATCTGCTGTTTAAGCTGAATAGAGAATCTTCCATAAATAATAAAAACACAATGAACTAGTAGAAGGATCCTCACCAGACTCTGCTCACCACGTGACATGACATCTGCTGGTTATAGCAACTAGAGAAAACCAGTAATATAGATGTAGAGAAGGGATCGTGGTGGCACACCGGAGTCCACACGGCATCAGTGCGCAGTCGCTTCACCAGTCAGAGCTCCTGTCTCCAACGCTGCCGTTACGCACAGGTTCATCTCGTCTCCAAACACCTGATTTACAGAGACACGTACGCGGATTTTCACCCTCTCTATGAAAGAATGTAAGGCAGATATGTAGGCTTTCCTCTGAAGGATATGGTCACTGTTAAGCTGCCAAAGTGGAGCCGCGCGTATCACGGATCGGGGCGCTCCTGCAGGGTCTAGGATGCGCGCCCGGAACATCCCGATTCTTACCCGGGTTCGGGGCTGAGCAGGATTCCGCTGCCCCTGCTGGGCGCAGAGGCGGGAGGAGGACGCAGTCGACCCGCACCAGGATGCCTGTGATGAGAGGTCTGCTGGCCCCGCAGAACACCTTCCTCGACACCATCGCCACCCGTTTCGATGGCACCCGTAAGTGCGCAGAACCTACCAACTTACCTTTCTTTCACCAAAGTGTCACATGCAAATTCAAAGTGTACAAAGCGAATCGAACAGCCAAAGCCGTTTGTACCCGTGCGTAAAATCTGGAAATATTTTAAGTGTACAGGTTGCATAGTTGTGTTGTAACATTGTTCTGGGTAGTTGGCAGTGACAGCAGGTATACTGTACTACTGTTTTAGACAACATTCATTTTATATTTTAATGCATGCCGTTTATAACTCGTCCTACTGAAAAGCTTCATGGAATATTTGTATAATATAAAAAAAAAAACTGAAATTCAGCAGTAGACTACTATTTAAGCAATCTGCAAAGAAGTTTAAACAGTGAAAACATTCTTATCATTATATTATTATTATTTTGAATATATGAATTTGAAATATTCATGATCTTTTTAACCCCATCTGAAGTTAATGTCCATGTCAGCTCTACCCTTCAATTGTGACTATTCTGACTGAATATAATCAGTCTTAAAGAAACCGATTTAAGCTTTTTCTGATTTCGCTGTATCGCTAAGATCAGGCTGCTGCGTATCTGCTTATTTTGGTTGTTCTTCTGTGTTCTAATCTGTTCCCTGGCATCGCTAGTACATTTTGTCTCATTTTCTTCTAAGCATTTTTTAATTACATAATCTGAAGAATGGAAGCAATCTAATAAGATTTCACAGTGTGTGCTTGTTATTTGTCTTTAGAACACTCTTGATATCTGGATGGTTCACAGAAGGTGATAGAGGTTAAAAATTCTTTTCAAGGGGGAAAACAGGTGTGTGTGTGTGTGTTTGTGTGTGTCGCTTCTCCAGCATTGCAGATGACTGTCAGAAGCCACTTTTGAACTCTCTTCCTTTCTCTGGGCCGATCTTTCATCTAGAACCACAGAGAGTGAGTCTGTGGAAATGCTGCTCATGTTTACTTTGTGAAGTATTTTTGAACAGAAGGGATGAGTAAGTTGTGTGCTGCTGTCCGGGTGAGCAGTGGGTGTTTAGGTGGGTGGAGGGTCGCTAACATACATCTTCATGTTCAGAACTTTGTGGATGTCCAATGGTCAAAATAGTCTTGTTCAATAATTCATGAGAAATTCTTGGATTAGTGCAAGTTGATTAGCACAATCTTTAATTTTCATGAGCCTGGCCTTTTCTTTTAAAGAGTCTGGGTGAGACAGACAGTTGAAGTTCATGAGGCCAGTCCATAAACAATACAATTGACTGCTTCAGTAATAGAGACACAAGATGTAAACAATGTGCATTTTACAAAAAAATGTTGTGAAAAGAAAAAGCTTGCCAGCAAATTCTGTGTAAATGTAAATATTTTGTTGCCATGACAATGCATGCCATAAAGCCAGTCACCTTAGAATGAGATTAAAACATACAGCTTAAGAAATGTGTTAATTTTAATGAACAAATTCTACAAAAGCTCATTTTACATTAATTGAATTTTTTTCTTGAACATTTACATTTTTTATTGAACATTTACATTTTTAATTGAACATTTCATACTTTAATTTACTTGCAATAGTTATTGCAGCGTATTATGCATAATATATTCAGTCATTAGGCATCACTGTGGCAGAGTGGGTAACACAATCGCCTCACAGCAAGAAGGTCGCTGGTTTGAGCCCCGTCTGGTTGGCATTTGGCATTTTCATTTGCCAACCAATTGGCATTTCTGTGTGGAGTTTGCATGTTCTCTCTGTGTTCGCATGGGTTTTCTACACAAGTAAAAAGACATGCGCTATAGTTGAATTGAATAAGCTAAATTGGCCGTAGTGCATGTGTGTGAATGCAGGAGTGTATGGGTGTTTCCCGGTGTTGGGTTGCGGCTGGAAGGGCGTCTGCTGCATAAAACATGTGCTGGATAAGTTGGCGGTTCATTCCTTTGTGGCAACCCCAATTGATAAAGGGACTAAGCCGAAAATCAAATAAATGAATGAATAATCAGTCCTTATGAAAAGTAACTGGTTACATGTAATTAGCATTATGTCACATTAGGGCTGGGCCGATAAATGAGAATATATCGAATTGCGATAAAATTAATATTCATTCACTATCTCAATAACAATAAACTCTGGACTTTTTTACTCTATATTGATCTAAGAGCCAATCACAAAGCAGACGTGTGCGACAATGGGAATTTTATAGTGTGTTGATATTAGACATTGTACTTAAAATTTTCAGCCACCAAAAGTTTACTTGCTTACTTACTCCCATCAGGGCCATTTATGTTGAAGTTGATATTTAGCCACACCATGATGGCATTTCGTAACATCTAATTTTTACAAGGTGGGTCATTAGCCCAATGCTCAACCCCTAACATGGAGGACCAGGAAATACTCACATACACTATGGACATTTAAGCTTACCCAATTCACCTATAGCGCATGTCTTTGGACTTGGGAAAAAACGGAGCACCCGGAGGAAATCTATGCCAACACAGGGAGAACATGCAAACTCCACTCTGAACTGACCCAGCTGGTTCTTGAACCGGCAAACTTCTTGCTGTGAGGCAACAGCACTACCCACTGCACCACCACCATGTCACCCCACCAAACATTTATTGACCAAAATATGTTATACCATTTAATGGACACTCTAATTTTTGTAGCTTAAGTCATTGTCTTAAATACGGAGGCATTTACAACTTATTTCAAAATATATCAATATTGTTCAGTATGGAAAATAATTATCGTGATATTGTTTTTGCCATATCGCCCAGCCCTACATCACATTCCAAATGATTGCAGTACCTGTAAATGGATTATTCACAATATTTATAAAATATGGATTATGTGATTACAGATGTTTCACACAGTTTGCAAACAATTCATATTTTTATCTACCCTGCACTGATTACATGTACCCAACCATAAGCCACGCTCTATAGAGACACAATGCTATAAAGTGTTACTCAGCATACAGTGCCTTACAAAATCTGGACTGAAAACTCAAAATCTTTACGTTTTTTTCAGGTTGTTTATTTGTTAGCGACTGTGCACTTAATTTTTGCATTTTTATTGGTAAATCACCCTTTATTGTTATGCAGCCCCCTGCTATAATTGAATATCCCCCTGACTATCAATGAAATGGAATATAATACTGGAAAGAAAGGCTGCAGAAGAACATCTTCTAGAGGTCCTTTGTGGTCAGAGGTGGTAAAGACAATGATCTAGATTCAGATCAACGTTTGTCACTTCATCGTTTATTGCATTGCACATGGTCATTCAGCTGCATTTAAACTCAGCATGACGTGTCCTATCAAAGGCTTTATTCTGCCGTTTGATGCCCGAGAAAAGGAGAGAAAGAGCAAAAGGGAGAGTTTTGTGTTGCTGGCGTGTTGCTGTTTGTGAGGAGTTCAAAGACAGGCCCATGGAGAGAGGGTTAGTCGCTGTAGACACTGGCAAACACTGGCTGCATTACAGTGGGGAAACTCACATTCACACATTCTAGCAGTAAGTAATGGATCTGTAGCCTGTATTGAAATACAATAGGTTTGAAACTGATTGGATAAAAAAAATATATATAGTTATTTCTTTTCAAAGACATTCATATTGATTTTTAAAATTCTATTCTATTCTATTCTATTCTAGTCTGTTCTATTACATTTAGAACATTAATGGAACATATTTGGTTAGGAGGTAGTGTAATTTATAAATGATTCTACTCTTTGTTTTCATTAATGCAAAAATGCTAAAAAGCTCAAGCAGTCAGAAACATTCAGCTACAGTATTTAAACACAGAGAGCAGAGCTTGCCTGAGGTAACAGAAAAAGAAGCATCATTTGCTAAATGTTACATCTACACTAGTGGCCAAAGTTGATGTCTGGAGGGAACACTTGCACATATTTGCTTTTAATGCCTATAACATTTATTTAAAACTATCAAAATAAAAGGAATCATTTGGGAAGATGAAAACACTGAACTTGCTTAAGCATTTGATTGGCAAAAAAGGCAACTACAGCTAATCATGAAGTGTTTTTAGTATGCAAAAAGTACTTAAGGAAAGGAAATAAACACTGACTGGAGTTTAATCAGTTGGTTGATCCCTAGTAGCCCGCATGCCTCTGTCCATCATGCACTCTTAACCATCCACATATAATTGGCTTCATCACTCTGTCTCCTCTCCACTAATAGCTAGCGTGTGGTGTGTGGTCTGATGAAGAATGGCTGCCATTGCGTCATTCAGGTGGATGCAGCTCTTTTAAGCTCTTGATTAAGAAGACCCCCCTCCCCCAAATCTGTAAAGAGATTTGAGTAAAATTCTTTGTGATTAAATTAATTGTTTTCCTTATTCTGTGTATTTTGTTGAGGTGTTTATGCTTTTAGAATTTTATTTTGGGGCATTGGTATTTCCTACCAACATTTTTTGATGTTAAAAAGTTTAGAAAAGTTATATTTATTGACATTTTTAATAGTTTTCAGTTGTTGCCTGTGTTGCGAATTATGGAACAAAAACTTGGTAATGAACTGCCAGTACTTTTACAGTTTTTTATGGACTTATTTCTATATTTATAACTTCAATAACATATTGTAATATGTAACATATTGTTTCAAAGGACCAAAATGTCGATAAAATTCCCTTTGTTAAAATGCTCAGTGCAGAAATAAAGTACTATAATGCAATTCATAACCATCAATAAATAAATTCATAACCATCAATAAACAAACCTGTGAATCACAATAATAATTAAACCTAATTAGCGGATTTTTTTACAATGTAGAAAAGCACTATGTAAATGTAATGAACGTAGTAACGTAGAAAATAAATGTAGAACACACACACACACACACAACTACAACTACACAATATGTCTAAAAAAATAATATTGTTGTGTTGAATTAGTTGACTTAGTTGTTGTGCCCAGTGTAAACAAATTTTTTTTTGTGTACAGTTTAGCACTATTTTGTGACTTTTTCAGTGTTTATTAGCTAGAACTAGAGTCTGTTTTATAACCAGACATCTTTAGTACAGAAGGTATTGGATT